GGGCTCACAGGTTTATCACAGTATATATATAGAGAGATTATTGGTATAGATAGACAACTTGGGAATAAAGTTAATTTTATTCCAACAAAAAATGAGACTTCAAGAACATCCTTAAATTCGCTAAGTTACACGAACTGAGGTCAAAACTTACGATTAATCCCTTGGATCAAACACTTTCTTTTGCCGTCTCAAGAATTACGATAATTACTGTTGGATATGGTATAGAACCCAGCAGGGATAACTCAGAACAAGAAATCAAGCACTTATCTCCGAATATAAAAGTTAAGTCACAACATGGATATCGAGATCAAGCGTTGTCGATTAGCGATATCTTACATAAAAGTAAGAACTAATACGGCAAAAATTCCGCTGTTTCTGGTTAACACTGCAGTATATCGAGAGCTTTCATATATTATTACGTTAATTAAAGTTCTTCTAGGTTTATTAACATCAGACGGACTTGTATCCTACATTATAATATATATATAAACGTACTTACATAAAGTATACTCCAGAGAGTAGAAAAATAAATATTACTAGAAGATAAAACATTTTTAACTGAATATCGGCTCAAGGCTAATTCTTTATCTATAGTGACAAACATGGATCAATAAATATACAGACATTTCCTCGCTTTTCAAAAAAAAGTTTTGAAACTTTTTGGTAATTATAAATTTGAAATTGTACAGTGCCAAGTAGAACCCTTAAAACTGCGGCAGTGGAAGACGACATTTAATCAGTCTTGTGTGTATTTGATGTTGTTAATAAGCAAATAGTTTTACTAGTAGCAGGTTCCGTAAACTGTTAGAAAAATCCTAAAACTTTTTTCGTTTAACCGAAAATGACCGAATGCATTTCGGTTAAACCAAGAAAATTATGTGAGAATCGAAAAAAGTTTTTAGAAAAATCAAAAAGGTTTTAAAACAATCGGAAATATTTTTACATTTGCCTAACTTAATACTGATGAGACAATTATCTTAAAGATTTGAAGAAATGTCGAAAAAAATTTTGATAGAACGTGATAATTCATTTTTATTTTACACGCCAGAGCAAAATTCTCTTTTTAGTTTGAAGAAAAAATGAAATCTTTTAAACATAATATTGGGAAGAAAAATGAGATTCCCTCGTATTTTCCCCATTTTTTCTTTCTTTCACTTTTCTTTTCAATAATTGCAGTTTGCCTCAGAGTTTGCCCCCCTTCTGTGTCCCATAAAAACTAAGTAAAGGTATAATGGGTACTAAGGAAACATATTAGAAACTAAATTTGTTACGTAACTTTCTTTTCCTGTAATATTTTAGTGGAAAAAAAGAAAAAAATATAAAATAAAAAGATTAACTTATTAAGAGCTTACAACAAGTCGCCGTTTTTGCAAGAGACGTCATAAAGAATTTCCTTTCTTTCTTTAAAAAACAGCTTAATAAAATCGATGAATATGCACAAATAAGAATTTAAGAAAATGGAGATTTGAAAAAACAGAGATTGCAAAACCCAGCAGCTGAGCTATCATCTGATTTTTGTTAATAGATTTTTGTTAGAATTTAAATTATAAAAATAAATATGTTAAAAAAATGTACTTCTAGCTAATCCATTGTAAAATACGTTTATGAAAATTCGTGTATTGGCTTCCAAAAAAATCGTCTAGCATCGGATATCTTCGGTACATGTTTTAAAGGGCCTCAAAAATGTGCAAATTGCAAAAAAACCCTTAATTTTTCACCTTTTTCATGCATGGATATGAATATGATATGTCGACTGTCTTATATTTATGTTTTTTTTGATATAGGAATAATGTATTTTTTAGGTCAAAACGTTTCAAGCCAACACATCCAATTGTGACATGTCTTAAAAATATTTTGTTTTGCCTAAAAAATTTGTTTTTAATGCTTGCAGTCTTTCACTGTAATTATAGCGGCTTCAAAAACTCAAAATCTCAAAATATTTATGTTTCCATAATCCACTGGGACTTTAAATCCTCCTTTTCGTGCATGAGGCCCCTCCCACCTTCTAGCCCACTGTTCCCTTAGTATGTTTCAGCAAAATGTCCTAAGTTAATTTGGTCAGACCATTATATATTATATCATTGCATTGTGTTGTGTGACGTCATATTTTCTAGGTATTTGACGTCACATGTAACCTGTTTGTATGGCACAGGGTTAGTTCTCAGAAAAAAATGCAATACTATCCAAAAAATGATAATTAATAATTTCTCTAAAAATGGTTTATTTAGAGTTTAGACTATTTTGATTAAAAATTAATTCATCATAAAAACCCTTCGTAGAGAAGTCTTGAAATGAAACCCTGTTACTTGTTTATGACGTATTGCCTGAGTTGATTCAGCAAAATGCGCCGAACCCTCCAGGTGAATTGAGCTTCGCGCATTCTCCTTATTCCTAGAGAGTTCGTGACAGTACATCTTTTCAATATTGTTCTAAACCAGCTGGGCAGGGGGCCTGCCTAGTGTGCATACTGCATATTGCGTTTACACACTGCTGGAGCAGCATTGTTCAGAAAACTTAAATAAGTTGATAATAATACGAATACGAATAATTACAAATCAGAGTAAAAAAGTGAAATGGCGCGGTTAACCAGAATAGGGGACCTAGGAGCCCTAAGAGCGCTGAGCTCTACTATTACCAGCATACAGACTATTAATCAGGGAGAAAAAATGTTGAGGGCATCTATATCTCTTCTCAGGTTTGATTATTTTTAATTTTTTGATTATTTTTATAAAGTTTTGATGGTTTTAACACATTGTAGTCCTTTTATTCAGTCGTATGTATTCCTGGTAGTCTAGTGTACCCATAGTAGTCCCGTGTACCCAGTACTTTGTAACCAATAGTACCATGTGTAATCAGTAGTCCTGTGTAATCAGTGGGCCAATAGTACTGTGTAACCAATAGTCATGTGTAATCAGTATTTCAGTGTAACCAGTAGTCCTCTGTATCAAATAGTTATGTGTATCAAATAGTCCTGTGTAACCAATAGTCAGGTGTAATCAGTAGTCCTGTGTAACAAGTAGTCCTGTATAACCAATAGTCCTGTGTAACTAGCTGTCTTGTGTATCAAAAAGTCCTGTGTAACCAGTAGGTCTGTGCAATAGTAGTCCTGTGGTACCATTGGTACTGCATGTGTGACCATTAGTCATGTGTTACCAACAGTACTATGTATAGTAGTCTTGTGTTACTGATTCTACCAATAGTTTTGTTTTATTGGTAGTTCTGCTTAACTAATAGACCTGTGTAACCAATAGTGCTGTGTTACCGGTAGTTCTGGTGTAACCAGTAGTTCTGTGTTACCAGTATTCCTGTGTTACCAGTAGTTCTGTAACTCTAGCTGTCCTATATGTATCTCTAAAGGGAGGGTTACCTTCAAAGGATGAGACTTCAGAGACGACTTTACAGAATTCGTTTAATCCTTTTTCTTATTTTCATGGTTCCATTTATGTACTAATTTTAAGGCAGGAAACCAAACTTCAACTTTATATCGTCATGTTCTAAGAGTTTCTGTTCGTCTCATCCTGTGTGGGAAACCCTGCATATCTGATGTTGATAATATCAAATTCATTATTTCATCAAGTTTTAAAGTATATAAAATACAAGAAGATCTTAGATCCTGCTGGGATCAGATTACAACTCTACTAGGTTTAATCTATTCATTACGTTATCAAATTTCAACATTTTAAACAAAAACGTAGGTCTTCTTCAGAACTTCTTAGAGCAATCTCAAAAATTGTAAAAGTAGAACATACAGAAACTTGTAATTAAGAAATCTTTGATATATTTTTTGTTCAATATTAGAACTATATTAGGTATAAACATAGATATTGAATAATGACATGTTCTTTCACCTGTGTAATATTTAGATGTATGATGTTCTTGGACCTGTGTTATCTGATAAATGTTTAGATTTATGATGTTATTTGACCTGTGTTATCTGATAAATATTTAGATGTATGATGTTCTTTGACCTGTGTTATCTGATAAGTGTTTATATGTATTATGTTCTTTGACCTGTGTTATCTGATAAATATTTATATATTTGTTATTCTTTGTCCTGTGGTATCCGATAAATGTTTATATGTTTGATGTTCTTTGACCAGTGTCATCTGATAAATGTTTAGATGTATGATGTTCTTTGACCTGTTTTTTCTGATAAATGTTTAGATGTATGATGTTCTTTGACCTGTGTTATCTGATAAACGTTTAGATGTATGATGTTTTTTGACTTGTGTTATCTGATAAATGTTTATATGTTTGATGTTCTTTGACCTGTGTTATCTGATTAATGTTTAGATGTATGATGTTCTTTGACCTGTGTTATCTGATAACTGGAATATCTCTGGTAACTGTTGGTCTCACTAATGATTACTACAACAAGGTATTTTTTTGTTTTACTTCTTATTTTGTACATCATTTACATTATAGATTTCTAAATCAGAATATAATCCAGTAATTTCAGCAACCTAACAGAAAAAGTTCATCGAATACTTGTTAAATCTCCCTCCTTTTCTCCTCCAATAAATGTGTAATATACCATTTATAAAAAACTCACGGAAAAGCCCAGTCTGCTCATTGTTTTGAATTATTTTTAGCAGTGTTTCGGATCCATATCATTTTGATCCGGATCCGAGGTAACTTTTGATTCTGTGAATCGGATTTTCCCTATTAAATGTTATGCAAGGTTATAATTTATAAACTATAGTAATCCTAAAGTTAAAAATGTCGTCATTACTATTATATAAATGTAAACATTAAATTATTAAAGATAATTTTGAAAAATTTTCGTCATGTAAATAATACATTTACGAACCATTTTGGTTTATTTATTCCATGGTTTTGGTTAATTTTTGGCGCTACCCGGATCCATATCAACGTTTCCTGATACGGATCCGGATCCGACCAAATGATACGGATCCGACCGGATCCGGATCCGAAACACTGATTTTTAGAATTAGTTCCAGTTTTATCAAATCATTTCGAAATTTTTTATTCATCTACTTCGTCAAGAAGAATCATTTTTAAGTTTAAATTTTTTTTTTCTACGAATATTTCAAATGTTTTTGTTATCATAAAATTCAAAGGTTGGATAAATATCAAACTAAATGAAATAATAATAGGATTGCATCATTATATGATTCATTCATGGACACTTTACACCTTACAGGATATTAAGGTTTTTAGGATTAAAATGGAAAATTACATGTTAACTCTACACAATACAACCCTGGAAATCCCAGATAAACCAGCTGTAACCCCATACAACCCTGCAAACCCCAGACACACCCCAGAGAAACCCTGCAAGCCTCGAGATAACCCCTGCAAACCTAGAGATAACCCCTGCAATCCTCGAGATAACCCCTGCAATCCTCGAGATAACCCCTGCAATCCTCGAGATAACCCCTGCAATCCTCGAGATAAACCTTGCAATCCCCGAGATAAACCCTGCAAACCTCAAGATAAACCCTGCAAACCCCAAGATAACCCTTGCAAACCTCAAGATAAACCCTACAAACCTCAAGATAAACCCTGCAAACCTCAAGATAAACCCTGCAAACCCCAAGATAAACCCTGCAAACCCCAAGATAAACTCTACAAATCCCAAGATAAACCCTTCAAACCTCAAGATAAACCCGACAAACCTCAAAATAAACCCTGCAAACCCCAAGATAAAACCTGCAAACCCCAAGATAAAACCTGCAAACCTCAAGATAAACCCTACAAACCTCAAGATAAACCCTGCAAACCTCAAGATAAACCCTGCAAACCTCAAGATAAACCCTGCAAACTCCAAGAGAAAACCTGCAAGCGTTCAGATAAACTCTGTGAATCCCCAGAAGAAAAAAAAACTAAAAAACAAGACAACTACTATTCCTGTAAAACCCCTGATCCCAGTAATTTTTCAAATAAAACAAAAAAAATCTGTATAGTGTGTCTACATGTAATTTTCCATTTTAATCCTAAAAACCTTTATATTCTGTCTACAGGGTTTCTCTGGTTGCTTGCAGGGTTTATCTTGGGGTTTGCAGGGTTTATCTTGAGTTATCTTGGGGTTTTCAGGGTTTATCTTAATGTTTGCAGGGATTATCTTGGGATTTTCAGGATTTATCTTAGGATTTGCAGGGGTTATCTTGGGGTTTACAAAGTTTATCTGGGGTTTGCAGGGTTCATCTGGGGTTTACATGGTTTAACTGGGGTTTACATGGTTTACCTGGGGTTTGCAGGGTTTATTTTGGGGATTCCAGAATTTATCTGGAGTTTACAGGGTTTATTTTGGAGGTTGCAGAGGTTTGCAGGGTTTATCTTGATTTTGCATGGTTTATCTGTAGGTTTCCAGAGTTTATGATTTGAAGGGTTTATCTTGGGGTTTACATCGTTTATCTTGGAGTTTGCATGGTTTATCTTGGGGTTTGCAGGGTTTATCTTGGGGTTTGCAGGGTTTATGTGGGGTTTGCAGGGTTTATCTGGGGTTTGCAGGGTTTATCTGGGGTTTGCAGGGTATATCTGGGGTTTTCCAAAGTTTATCAGGGGGTATCTGAGTTGGTTTTCACACCAAGTTGTTTTAAAAATTAAAAGCGCCAAAAAAGTACGACCATTTACATATTGACTGATTCCCCCCTCATTTATTAGACCGGTAGTAACAGTGGTGAGTAATATTTCTGTTTTAAGAAATAATTATTCTAACAATTTACATTCTTTTGTCAAAATATATTTGTTTTAAAAAATAACAATGTTAAGGAAAGAATGATTATTCTTGGAGGAGCTTTTGGTGTTGCCGCGTCTCTATCTGCTGTATGTAACAGGTACAAAATTTTTATAATATTTTTAACAAAAAATCTTGGACCCGCATATCTTTGAGGATCCGGAGAACATAGCGTCCACACAAATTCAGAAAGTTTCAATTTTAGACTCGAGCGTAAAAAAATCAATTTAATTCCAATCAAATCATTCAGATATTACAATCCATAATCATCGATAATTTTTAGACGCACTCGTGTAAAGTTGATATTTCATAATATTTTTTCTCGTTTCATATTCAATATACTTTAAAGGACGTTTATTTGGCCGCTAGGTGTTTCTATGTCTCTACTCGCGATGTTTTCTGGAGTTCCACGTGAAATAGACTCCAACGACACCTAGCGACAAAAAAAATCGTTAGTATAAAAAACATGTAAAAAATATAATGAAATGTACAAATTCGTCGAAAAATTATCGATAATTATAGGTTGTAATATCTGAAAGATTTATTTTGTTAAATTAAATTGATATTTTTACGATAGGGTCTAAAATTGCAACTTTCTGAATTTGTGTGTACGCTACGTTCTTCAGTATGAGTCGTTCTTAACAATTTTCTCCTTATAGACACAACAGATAGAAATGAGATTAGTAGCGATCACCATCAATAATTTTTCGTCGTAACCCCATACCCCTTTCATTTTTCGTGAACACTCCCTTTAAAGTATGGATGGTCACTTTAAATTACGCTTACAGTCCCTTTAAGGCGTTATTTAATTTTGTATTGTTTAGTTTAGCAGCCCATGGTCTACGGAGCTGGAGACGAGGGTTCCTGGTTCCTTGGTTAATATATTATCTATGCATCATTCTTCTTATTGTTATGTTCCTTGCCAGATCATTCTACTTCGAGCACATTAACCTCAGACAGGTAGATACAGGGGGATACAGGGAGATACTGGTAGATACAGGAGGACACAGGGGATACAGGTAGATACTGAAAGATACAGGGGGATACTCGTAGATACAGGGGGATACTAGGGGATCCAGGGGGATACTAGGGGATCCAGGGGGATACTGGTAGATACAGGGGGATACTGGCAGATACAGGGGGATACAGGTAAATACAGGGGGATACAAGGGGATACAGGGTATATTGGTAGATACAGGTACACGCAGGGGAATACAGGGGGAAACAGGTATATAGGTAGATACAGGTATATATGTACGTACGTAGAGACAGAGGTACATGTAGATACAGGGGGATACAATATACCATACACATGTGTACAGGGGGAATACAAAATAAAGATATAAAAAAGAAAATCGACTTTTCTAATGAATTTATTTCTTAGGTTTTCCTGTTCCTAAGTTGTCTGACTCTGTTCTCCTGTTGGAAACATTTCCAGAGACAGTTCGCTCTGATGGCGTTCCCTAGACCAGAACAGGTATACTTCCCTAGACCAGAACAGGTATACTTCCCTAGACCAGAACAGGTATACTTCCCTAGACCAGAACAGGTATACTTCCCCAGACCAGGACAGGTATACTTCCCTAGACCAGAACAGGTATATTCCCCTAGACCAGAACAGGTATACTTCCCTAGACCAGAACAGGTATACTTCCCTAGACCAGAACAGGTTCCTGGTTCAGGGTTCATAATATGATTTTCAAATGAAATACAGTGTGTGCAAGTAAAATATGGTAGACGACCTAAAATTTCTTAGTGCAATCTTCTACTTTCCTAAAGGCGTCTTTTTTTCTTTCATATTTACGATTCTTTGAATAATAAAAATTCTTACTATTTTAGGTCATAGTTGATGTAGAGGCTGTTGTAAGAGATCTGATGGAACAAGGCCAGAGTGCGACCACAACCCAATACGAGGCCGGAAAGGATCTCCCGCCAAAATACGAGGATGTTGAAGACCTCCCACCACAATATGATCCGACAACAATGACCGCAGTTTCTGCTGCTGTCCCCGGACAGTTATCTGAACCGAACACAAAAACCTTAAATTAGAAGTTCAAACCAGTTTTTCAGGTTTTTACTGGTTTTAACCAGTTGTCCAGCTCGTAACTGGTTTATTAATGCATTTTTAAAGTTATCACTGCAAATTGTTATTTTTCACAAAATATGCGTTTTCATTCTATATTTCCGACTGAAACCCGAAATATCACGTATTTCTAGTGAAACTAAAAATTTCAGATAAAAATCTGTGATCTTCACATGATTTTTTTTACCGTATTTCGAACATGTTATGACTACGAAATTATAGTTGCTGATATATATTCAAATATATGAAAATTAATTTTTTAATAGTTTTTTCTTTTGTGTGGCCGTATTTAAACAAACTAGTGAGATCTCTTCTAACTTTAAACTTTTGAAGATAAATCGGTCAAACCCAGGGGGCGGAAACGTCATGAGTGTGTGTGTCTGTACTAAAAGAGTGTGTGTAAAGTTTAACGAACCGAAGGTATATTCAGTACATACTAATCTCGGTATTTGTACAGTTTAGGAGAGTACATTTGTGGATTGTTAATTATTTACTTATAAATAAGTTTAATATACATGTGGTATATTATTTACACATATAAATCATTATTATAACCCAAATTTTCATGCAAAGAATATAATTTGATTAAAGTTTACAATAAACTACTCGTTATTCAAGTTTAATTTTAATTGACAACATTGTTCTGCAATTTCATTGACTTCAGTCATGTTGTGTGTCTGTAACAGAAGAGTGTGTGTAAAGTTTACCGTACTGGTCTGCAAAGCAGTGCGACTGGCTTTCTCATGCCAGACCAGCGCCATTTCCTTTCCCTTTATTCCTATTCCCTGGTCATTCCACTCTATCTATGGAAAGTCACTTGTACCACCTACAAAAAGTGCGCATCCGACCTAAAAAAGTCTGACCTACATATTTGTGTGATCCTTTTGGTAGCACCATCAACTACATACTGACAAGATCTGCATTCTGCAGTTCCTGCGTATGTCAGATTAACAAAATAGTGTACATCCGACCTACAGCTGTCGTTGGTTCGAGGTCGTAGGACGAAAATGCCATAGGACCGAACCATTCTTGAAGTTTCATCTTCTGTGAAAAACCTTTAATTCTGCTGAACTTACTGAACACAAAATACATTGTACATGGTCCAATCCATTCCGTAATAGGTAGATTTGTTATTTCCACATTTAAGAAAATATACTTCGGTCTAGGTTGACCCTCTTAATATGATTCCAAATGAACATTTTTAAGATGGGCAATAAAATAATTTGATACTTTCTCTGCCAAGACTAAAATGTTCGAATTAAGAACGTAAAAAGATTATATTTTAACATAACAACGAATAAAATATAGAGTATTAGTGAATTCTCTGCCCTGCTTTATTATCATTGATATTATTTCTAGCTGTTGGTTAGGTTTAATCTCGAGGTATTTTCTAGCTAGGTCAATCTCGAGGTATTGTCTAGCTAGGTTCAATCTCGAGGTATTGTCTAGCTAGGTTGAATCTCAAGGTATTGTCTAGCTAGGTTCCATCTCAAGGTATTGTCTAGCTAGGTTCCATCTCAAGGTATTGTCTAGCTAGGTTCCATCTCAAGCTATTGTATAGCTAGGTTCAATCTCAAGGTATTGTCTAGCTAGGTTTATCTCAAGGTGCTGCATGACCATGTTCTATCTCAAGGAATCGTATGAAGAGCTACAATCTGTTCTCCATCCTCTCTGAATTCCACCACGTGACCTCCAACCATTGTTACCTGAAGTAACAAATCAATTTCAAAATGTAAACAAAAACACATTTTTATTAAAAACTAGAAGTTGAACAGGAGTTGAGGAGATAGAACTTAGAACCGTTATGTTTCATCAATTTTCTTTGATATTGCCATATAATTTTCCATTTTATGAAACCCGGGTGGGGGGGGGGGGGGGGG